CAATGTTAGGGAAGCAAGGATTTTTCCTGTCATGTTCACAGCTGCAAAACCAGCAGTGACTGGTGCACAGTAGGCGTTCAATTAGCTTCTGTTAAATGAGTGAAGGAACCCTTCTGGGACACTGTAAAAAGCCAACTCTATGAAGGTGCAAGTGGCCAATGAATGTATTAAAATACTAATGAGAAAAAAATAAAACACTAATGAGGTCTTGGGTCTTTAGCCCTTTGGGGACAAGGAGGCAACAGATGTCTCTAGACTTGATGCGATTGTAGTTCCTGCTGCTTGATCTTTGCTCCACAGGGCCTTCACCCCCCGACCCCTCCTCCCTCCACTGGGGTCCGGCCTTACCCGCGGACTGCTCAGAGGACTGGAGGACAGGCCGGTGGAGGCTCCACTGACGCTACGGGATCTGTTTCCAGGATAAATTGTTAAAAATCAGGAGGGAATGGTTTCAAAAGGCTCAGGGGTTCTCTCCCTTCCACACTCCTTCAAGATAAGGAACCGAGGCCCAGAGAGGGCAGGTGACTCGGCCCAATCACACAGCGCCTGGAGGGAGGCGCTGGGGTTAAAACCTTGACCTCTCTTCCCACCCAGGACTGGGGGTCCCACTGCGGGGGCAGGGCTCCCACCTCTGACTGTGCTGGGCCATCTCCAGGGCCCGCCGGGTGGGCACCGGGGAGCCGCCGCCGCCCGCATCCGTGATACTCAGGACTTCCATGGACTTCCGCTCCGGCCGCCGCTTCCCGTGCCGGCTCAGCATGGGGGAGTCCACTCGCTTCCGAGGGGGGTCTGGGGGAGATCGAAAGACCGATTTGTGCCCTAAATAGTTTGGTTCAGTGAAGGAAGGAAGGAAGGAAGAAAGAAAAAAGAAAAGAAAGGGAGAAAAGGGGAAAGGAGACCTGGCCAGGGTGGCTCAGTTGGTTGAGCACCGCCCCATGCACCAAATGATCACCAGTTCAATTCCTGGTCAGGGCACCTGCCCAGGTTGGAGGCTTGATCCCCAGGAGGGGTGGTGCAGGAGACAGCCAATCGATGTTTCACTCTCACATCGATGTTCTTCTCCCTCTCCCTTCCTCTCTCTAAAATCAGTAAACATGTTACAGAAAGGCTGGAGGGGAAGAGAGGGTATGGGGGTCTGTGAGGAAGGAATTCCTGGTCAGGGCACCTGCCCAGGTTGGAGGCTTGATCCCCAGGAGGGGTGGTGCAGGAGACAGCCAATCGATGTTTCACTCTCACATCGATGTTCTTCTCCCTCTCCCTTCCTCTCTCTAAAATCAGTAAACATGTTACAGAAAGGCGGGAGGGGAAGAGAGGGTATGGGGGTCTGAGTGAGGAAGGGCTCACACAGTCAGGCCCAGCTAAGCACTGTCTCCTCCTCCCTCACGCAGCCCTCCTGGGCTGCTATCCTATCTCAGCCGTCCTGAGCATCCCAAACACCAGGCTGGGTGGGGGCAGCCTCGTCCAGGGAAACCTACCGGAGAGGAGAGTGAAGGTGACAGAGTAGATGCCACCTCCACCGCCGCCGCCGCCATCCCGTCGCGGGGCGGGCTCTGGTCCCTCAGAGGAGCTGATGTCCACCTGGAAGCGGACGGGCTTCTGGAAGACGGAGGGGCCACCGCTGGCCTTGTACTCGGCCCTGAAGCTGGTCTGTGACAGCACGCTGTGACTCAGGCTGGGGATCTGAGAGAGACGGGGGTGGGGGAGCACGAGGAGGAGGTGACCCCCGGGACCTGGTTGCAGGGAATGGATAAGCACCCCTACAGCGAGCGGCCTTTTCCCAAGGAACTACAAGTCCCATCAGACACTGGAGCAAGAGTAGTATAAGGAAAGGTATCAGAATGGCCCATTGCCTGCTGGGATTTGTAGTTTTCCATCCTACCAGGACTAGGTTGTTTAGGGATGAATGGCTGAGCGACTGATTCCTAACGTAATAATAGGGGAATGTCAACTCACCAGTCCTCAGGGGACACTGATATGTGGACAATTGCAACTCGCGATCCTATTCCAGGCCCCAGGATACAAGCCTCTCCTGCCTCCCTGACCCCACAATGACCAAACCCAACTCTGGCTGAAAAACTACAAATCCCATGAACCCTAAGGAGGAGTCAGGCTAGAGCCAAGGTGGTGAACCCCAGGGGCTGCTGTGGTCCTGTGGTGGCCAGTGCGCGTGTGTGGGGACCCAGGCCCCTCACCGACAGGAAGGCATGGACGATGTCCGCTTTGATACTACTGAGAGGTTTGTCCTTTAGCACGAGAAAAATTTGTTCTTCTTTGTCCAAGGAGATGAAGTTCCCGAACCAGGAGCGTTTTGCCAGCCTGAGTAGGAGGGGATGGTTGGAGGCGGGTCAGGAGGGGGCTGAGGACATGAAAAACCTCCCTCCCTTCTCTTCCCTTCCCAGTCTCACTCACTCTGGAGAGGACTCCGGCGTCAAACTGGACATCTCCTCGGCGGTGGGCACTGGGGAGGGGAGAGCATGGTCGATACTTGTCCACCATCCTCGTGAGCAGCGCAATCAGGGCGTCCAGACCCAGTGTCCATTCGCCCCGCCCAGAAGCCAAACCCCAAATGGCAAGCAGCCTAAGGTTCCTTCTAGGGATGAAGCCCGGCCCATTAGGCCACGCCTCTGTGGGTGGGGCTTGCTTGTCATGAGCCAATGGGAAGGTGAGCCAGAGCGCCGATTGGGCGTGTCTTTTAGAGGGGGCGGGCCCACTTCCTCTACCCTATGCTTGCATCTCTGCTCACAACCCGCATCTTACCCCAGGATGTGGGAATTCGGACCCTAGCCCCTTGCTTCCGGGACCCAGACGTTAGCCCCAGGTCGCCTTCCTCCATTAGGATTCAGGAGTCTGCCCCCCGGCCCCTGCCTCCCCAGGGACCCCATACCCTGCATCTTGCGCCGGTGGAAACGAGGGGAGCCCAGGAAGCTGTTGCGGATGGAGTTGAGACGACTCCTCCAGGCGGCTCCCCCGACACCACCGCCTGGGCTTGGAGGCGGCGTCGTCCCCGGGGTCCCGGTGGGGCTGGCCCGGGGAGTGTGCAGAGGCGAGTGCAAGGGGGTGCCCCCGGAGGAACGTGGGGAGCCTGGGGGTCCAGGCAGGGGAGTGGAGCGGGCACTGGGGGGTGGGGGCTGCTCCCCGGCGCCCCCACCCCTGGGGCCTCGAGAAGGCAGCGTCTGCGTTTTGGAAGTCGGGGAGCCTCCTCCCCGAGCCTCATCTCCAGCCCCAGGCTCCGGTGAGAAGGAAAAGACCGGACTCTGCGAAGGAGAGGACGAGGGTGAGGCCGGACTACAACTCCCAGTAGGCTCTAAGCGCCCCACTCACGCAGACTCAGGCAGGAGGGCCCGATGCATGCTGGACCTTGTAGTCCTATTATCCCTCCCTCCCCTCAATGTTAGGGAAGCAAGGATTTTTCCTGTCATGTCCACAGCTGCAAACCAGCAGT